ACAGGCTTGGCCACCGCGCGCCAGCCCTAATTGAGCTTTTTACTTTGTTCAGGCGACTGTTTCTAAGCAGTTATATATGTGAGATTGGAATGGGATTTCCCACCACTCTATTTCACATCTTGAAGAAAGAAGCACCCTTTCCCCAAGACTAGGAAAAACAGCAAGGACCATAGAGAGGCCTTCTGTAACGTCATCAGAAGTGGAGAAGAGGTACCGAGATCCCATACGCAAAGTGCCAACTCAGGTCATCGCTATTCACTCGTCCTCTTGGGCATGCCTTTCAGACTCTGGCGCATCATACAACCCATATAGCCTTGTGTGGCCTTAAAGATGAGACATTATTTTCTCAGTGTTCTGGAGGCTGAAATCTGAGATCAGGAACTGCTATCACAGTCAGGCTTTAAGGGAGGGCTCCCTTCTGGCTGCAGACGCTGCCTTCTCGCTGTCCTTAACAGGGCAAAGAGTGAGTAAGAGCAAGCTCCTCTGGTCCCTAGTCCTCATCAAAACTTCAATACCTCGCCAGCCCCATCTCCAAAACGTCACATGGGCGGGTTTAGGGCTCAACGTATGTATATTGCGGGGGACATTCATACTGTCCATCGCGAACGGCACTGTCTGGGTCAAGAAGCCTCTCAGGGACCCTTTGGTCCTGAGACTGGCTGTGAAGGTTGCCCCTTGTCTTCATCACCTCTGCCCACCTGCCGCCACCCATAAGAAACTGGCATAAGATTGGCAGCTTAGCAAGGACGAGATGGAGGAGGCTCGACAGGGAGGTTTCTGGACATCAGGAAGATAGGAATTAAGGAGGGTGAAGAGGAAGAAAAAGGGACTCCATGAAGAGGAGAGGGTCTCTAAAAGCCGCAAAGATAAGTGAGGAGGTGAGAACCAGCCTGAAGCACCCACCTGTGACCTGGTGGGGGCAGGAAGGTGTTAGAGGAACTAGGAAGCTAACCAGATGGGAGGAACCCTTCCCATTCTTCATGGAGGCAGATTATCACTGGTCTGCAGTTGGCCCAAGACTACAGATCCTAGTGAGAGTCCTGCAGCCCCCGTGCCCTGCAGATACCAGGGAGATGAGGCACTGGGAGAGTTCGTACTCGGCTGGTGG